TATATATATTTTTTTTTTAATGTGAATTTATTATCATAATTATAATAATTTTATAGGAAGAGATGCAGAAGGTAAAGAAAATGTAAAGACACTGCCTAATAGATCATCATCACCGATACTAAATAATCGAAGGAGTAATAGTCCGAATGCTGCTCAATCTTTTAGTCCAACAGTGGAAGTCAAGTCGCCTACTTTAACACGAAAAGTAAGTTATTATTTTAAATAATTATAAATGATTGTGTTTGCTTATTTACATCTTGTATTCTTATTTGACATATAGAAAAACTTAGACATATCTAAACATCCTAGATAGTTGCATGGGATAATTTTTTTGTACTGATTGAGAAAATTGAAAAATGTTAAGTATATATAGTTAAGATTGATGTAGTTTACATTTTTAATTATTTGATGTCAGAAAAATTGTTTTCTTCTCTTATTATTTTAGATGAATGGTTAAATACTTGATAATTCCTTATTAGCTACTTGTTAGTTTGCCACTTTATCTAGAAGTATTAAACTAGTTATATACAATATGTTTTTATAGTCATTTTTATGTTTTCAAATAGTCTATTGTTCAACTTTTTACCACTTTAAACATAAGTATAGTGGAAATTGGTTACACATCACCTCTATGCAATGGCTGGTTTTTGAAAGTACCAATTTTTTTCTCCATTGACTTCAATGAAAATATTTGGCAATTAAATGGTTAGCACTCGTCAATCTGATGCATGCTTTTTAAGTTATTCAATAATTTGACAGTCAGTTAATACAAAAAGTGAATTTAAAATATTGAAAGACTGGATAATTTACCATACAGCGCACAAACAAAAACAATTACAACCAGAAGTACTTATTTCAGATATTAAAAATTTACTGTTAAATTTTAAGTAATGAAATATAATTAATTAATAAATGTAATTCTTATTGACATTTTTAAAAATGTCAATAAGAATAAAATTATATCTGATAATGATTTTGAAAAAAATAAACTGTATTTTCAAAAATAAATGTAGGAAAACCTGTGTAAACCAGAATTGTGAGTACTGAATTATATTCTGTTTTAAACATGTTTTAGTTTTAAACCAAATAATATTCCACTGTCAGATTCACTTTTTATAGTAATATCACTTTTTGCATACATAAAAAAAATTTTATTACTAGGCTTAATTTACATTAATCCAAAACAATTCCTATCAAAGATGGGTGTGCTTGAATGAAAGAATCCAGAACTATTCGATTGTGAAAAGTTCTGGTCATTCCCATCAACTCATCCTAGGTATTCAAATACTTTGCAAATGCAATTCTTACAAATACACACAATAGCAAAGATAACAATTGGAGTATCAAAATCTAGCATCTAACTCTGCCACGGGAAATTCTAATTGCATTGAGGTAATACAGATACCAAGTTATTCTGCAATCCAACTTCTCTACGAATTTTAATACTTCAACTGCTTATTTACTTCAAACTATAACTACTGGTATGCTAATCGTCTTGTTTGGAATACTTGGAACTAGTTAGTAACTACTCTATACAAGGCAAATTGGTAGCCCTTTATTATCTTATTTTCATTGTTTTCATTTTATTACATTCGTTGCATATTCTCAAGAACTTGAATTTTGGAAACATTTAATTCTTAAAAGTATTAGTCCAACAAGGACTTCTAGTAATACTTTTTCTCATTTAATAAAAATATTTTGTAAGTAATTGAATTACCCAGTTTTTGCATTGTACTTGTTTAATTAAAAGTTCTGTATAATAGAAGAAACACTCCAAATTTATTCCATGGGTAAAACAATTTAATCTCTTCAAATAGATATTGAACGGTTAATCGAGAATTATTACCCTGTCGAGAGCAACGGTAAACAAAACGAAGGAGCATGATGAGTAAGCCAAAGCTGGGGACAGAGTGGAATATATACAAAAATGTACAGTACATTAGGAGATTTGGTGGGTCCTATCTACAACACTTAATTAATTTCACATTATAAAGTAAAATTCCCCTAAAACTTTTAAATCGAAATCGACTCATTAAACTTACAATTGCTATGCACCATTATAAGATCTGATCTTTCTCAATATTCGGCCAATATTATGATGAGCTTCCTTCAAATGTTCTAAACAAAGGTCGGGATACAAAGAGGCTCTTATTTTTTGAGTGTTTCTTCTATTGTATTTAAAATGATTAGTATTTTATGTGAGATTACAACAATGTATTTAATTACAGGGCGGTTTGGTCGATTATCCCGACGAAGATTCGGACGAAGAGGACGACGACGACTCGTCCAGCCTACCGGCGTCTAAGCGACCGAGACTCAGCTCATAGCATACGACATTTGGGATTACGCGATCGGAAAAATTGTTTAAATAATTGTTCTCCTCCGAGACACGAGTCAACGTCTCGGTTTGTATGTATTCCAAGCGAAGACATGCAGTTTTTTCCCAACTGCCAGTTTGTGCCTCCACGGATTAATTGGCTACTTCTGGGCATTGTAACTGAAGATGGATAAAAGCTGTTGTTTAGTATGCTCCAAGAGCTGTTCCACGACCCTAATAAAACTCAGGTGCCAGGATTCTGTTGTATAAAAGGAAACAAAATGTACATCTTTTTCATTGGACTGTTGATAAAAAAAAATATCCAATTCATTTGCACATAACATCTTAAGTTGATCCTTAATTTATGGTACAGTCGACAGTATTACCGATGCACAGATATACTTTTACTAGAAGATATTGGTTGTGCCATTTTAAAGTGAATGAGTTACTCGTCACAGTCGAAAGCGAAAAATTTTAACGGATTTCTTTGGATCGGGAAGTCGTAAAAACGTGCAGTCCATCCATCTTCCTTCACGATATTCTGTTATCGGCTGGTTCGTACGTTAGATCTGTCATTTGTCATAACGTTGCAGTTTTTATATTAAAAAAAAGTAAATAAATAAACCCCGACACGAGAGTGCAACACTCGTCTACAAATGCAGTTCTCACATCGAGTCGAGTAAAAAGAATGAAAGATGATTTTGCCCATAAATACCATTGCTCTGATTCTATTGCCTTTTTACACAATCTCAAGCTACTGCAGAGATAAGAGTACAAGGTTAACCAATCCAGTCCTCAAAAGTTTAAGAGTAAAATAAAAAAGGGATTAATATTTTTATACCTCTGTCCATCTGCCATATCTTATCGGTTGATCACGACTTGGGAATCTGGGCGAAATTGCTGTTCCGTTGTTAATCGACCAATGCGTACACCTGGGCTCGAGGAATCGACATGTACAGGAGCTAAGAGATTCGTAACGAGGTGATTTGTGACTAGAGACGATTTTCGGCCCGCGAGGACACTTTTTTTTTGTTTTTGTTTTTTGTTCTTTTTTTATCGTGGATTCCTCCTCCACGCCTTTGCCTTTCGAGACTATCTCATTGCTGCACTTTTCTCGGAAATGAAAAAAAAAAGTAATATTGACTCTAAATAGGAAAAAAAACATCATGTGAATTTGCCCAATTATAATGACAGTGTCATTTTGTAAAGTTATTCATGTCACAGAAATTTGGCAAAGGATTTAAACTCATGTAGTTGCATTGCTCTTAGAGTGTTGTCACATTCAGAAGTAGGGGTATTTGTGTATGTAGAATATATCCAGTGTTCTTTTTATCTGAATAAAAAAATCAAGTTATTTGAATACATTCAAATTGACTTAATTTTTGCGAAAAAAAAAAAAATATTATATATATATATATCCTTTCCGACGTTATTTACGTTCTTTTTATTGTGTTTTTCGTAACGATGGCGAAATATAGACGACCTGACATCTGGCGTGGTGGTACTATTTAATAACCAGTTCATTACAAAATTATACGTGACAATTTTTAGCATTTTTGTAAATATTGTTTTCGTTTGGTTTAAAAATGTTGTTTTATTGAAATAATTTGTTTTGTACATAAGAAAGTTACTTTGATTTGTTCAAATTGCTTTTTTTTTGTATGACTTATTTATAGATTCTGTATTCCTGTGTATCTGAATTTTATTATATCTATTTTATTTGGATTCTTTCAGCAATTGAAATTATAAAATTTCTCTATAAAATGAAATTTCTTTTCCGTTTGGATTTTATTAGACAATCTCCCTTATATTATAATAATTGATATTACACTAAAATTGATAGTAGTATGGCGTAAATAAAATGGATAAAGTTGGTATAACTTTCGGAATAGGATGAACGTAATTTCTGAACTGGATATGATTCTGTTTTATTTTGAAACAATAATTTCTTAAAATAAAAGCTTACTTGTGGCTTACATAGTTTCTCAAATATTTAATTAATTGCCATCTGTACAAACACGAAATATTAAAGAAATTGTACAGTTCTGGATGCGGGTAAAATCTATATCCGTTCCATTCTAGATTAATCCACAAAAGTACGAATGCAGACTCCAGCATGACCTCCAGCTAACAATATAAATATTTACACAATATACGTTCACTTTCGATAGAACACGTTAACGAAAATAGTTGCGTATTGTGTGAATTTTTGTATTTTGTGCTTTCAATTAAAACATTTAAACATCAAAATACTATGTTAATTCCAAATTTTACAACTATCGACATTGCGTGCTATTGTTACATTTGTATTCACGAAATTATGATATTCTAGAGAAATTTTTTAAATTTATTGATTTAAACTGTTTCATTTTCTATCATTAAGTAACTTAGCATTTTACATAACGTATATGTTTTAAAATATCATTGAACAATAATCAGTGAAATTGGTAAATAGATTTGTTAATTCTACACAATTTATGCCAGGGTCGACGAACCTCTGGCACGTAACCTATTATACGATTTCGATTTATCACTCGATCATCCTTTTCTTTCAATCAGCTTCTTTACATTTACTCTACATCAGTGTTTTTCAACCATCTTGAATACGCGACCCCTTTACAAGTTAAAAAATTCTGGCGATCCCCCTAGCGCCATATTAAAACTATATCGGTGATTTTAAAAACTGTGTGTTTAATTTTCTTTCTGTTGAGACAAATTGTTGATTAAAATGAAAATTTCAGAAGAATCGACAATAATTTAACACACAAAGTATGAAACTTTCTTTAATTATAACATTGGGCACGGGGAGCTGTTGACCTTTTTTTTATTATTTTTTTAGGATCAGAATCTTCAGCTTCTACTTTACTATTATTTATTTCTTTTTGCAAATCAGCTCAAGACTTTATCGGCTATGATTTTCTGGGGTGGGCCGTATCCACCCAGGCCCCTGCATGGCTGAGACCTAAATATCGATTAAAAAAAAATGAATTGTACTGTAAAATAAACAGGTACAGCCTTCTCGCTGAAATTGTAGTTTTTTTAATGTAGTGTAGGACCTACAAACACTTGTCTTTTTCTTTTACCGCGACCCACAGGTTGAAAAACACTGCTCTACATTATTATTATTATTTAAATTTTATATCGATGTATAACTGAAAATTTTCTGACTTCCCCCTCGGACCCCTTAACTCGTTTGAGTGTCGGGAAAGTCATGTAAGAGCCCTTTCCAACTGTTTTCAGACACGAAAATCATGAATGGATAAAACCACCGAACACTGGTAGTTGGTCACGGAACCCGTGACCAACTACCAGTGTTCGGTGGTTATATTAGCGTTTGATTACGTGGAGTTTTCTTAGAAACCATGGCCCTGCCCTCGTGTCACGTTGCCATAAACAACGAATCCAGTCCAATCCAAAATCCTGAAGTGATTTACGGACTGCACGCTAGACCTTTTAGGTTGAACCACTGCTCCTTGTTCAGTCTACAATCTACAGATACGAAATTTTTATTTAAAAGTAGATTTGATGTTTGCTTAAAGATAAATTCATCTCAAAACCTTTGTAGACAAATGTAACTGTTATAAAATTCTCTAAAACTTCAATCCTGCTAATTTTATATTTTATTGTACCGAGTTCTCTGTGGATTTTACAAAATTACTCCGTGAATTAAATCTTCCTCCCAATACAAGACGCGTACTATCTTCTCAAACGTCGTCCCATCTATTCAATACCAGGTATAAGGATCGATCATACGCATCTCGTTTGTTAAGACATTTCTCCGTAATATATGGACATGGACATTTTTAAAATCTCATCGTCTACACTTCGTACTATATGATTAAAGAAAGACAGAGATCACGTGTTAATGGAATTAATGGAAAATTGGGTATCCCGGAAAACGTTTATACACTAATACAACTGCCCTATTCTTAATTAACAGCATCAACGCGATTTTATAATTTAGTTTATATTTCGGTATTTTTAATCATTATGCCTTATAAATGATTTACAATAACACATTGCACTGCGTATGTTTTTTCAGAAATTCATGATATAATACAGTGATTTACAATACAACACACCGTTATTTTTGGTGAACGCAACGGAATTTGTTGTTGGCAGTGGATTTTCATCAGACCAAATACCACAGTTGTGAGTGTTCACACTTCGTGCAAATGAAAACGAGTCTCGTCACGCGGTGGGTGTACAAGTTGTCCTGAGTATACAGTTTCGATTTTAGGGAAAAATTTATCTCAAAATGTAGCCGCTAGGCGAAATTTGGCGTTGCTGTCCCCTTAAGTTGCATATTATGTACGTTTTCTAGCGAAATTCGGGTATAAGCTTAGTCAGAAAACGTTCTTCATAATTCTTAGACAGGTGCTCATTATGCCTGATCGTGGATCATTTGTTAAACTCTTCTATCAACGAAACAGCAATACCAGCTTGGTATTTATTACGTAAGCAAAAAGTTGCAGACGTAGAGAAAATTGTCTGATTACTGCAAAACTTGGCATTGGGCTGTCTCAGACAGTGTAACTGATTACAAATTATAGTCCGATTGCAGGCGAGGTAAGGCCACCGGAATGCCTTAAAATCGCTACTCTAGTAGCCTATAAAAAGGCTCGGAGAGTCCGTCTGTGAAGTTATAGGCGATAACGTAACTCTCTTTAATAAAATACGTAGAAGAAACTAAATTGAACTGTATTGTTCATTGTTGGCTCCTCACCGTTGAACTTCTTAAATTGTTTTGCATATTTTGGCAGGGGTATAGCCTGTAATAAAAGCTCATCTCTGCAATGGAAGACTTTTCTGGTGATTGAACATGAAGAAAAGTGAAGACTTTTTAGTTTCTTCTATGTATTTTATTATGTAAATATCGCCATCCATTTTTTAATTGTAACTGGCTTTAGTAAATTCAACACTGGACTAAGTCACACGACACTAAAGTGTTCGGCCGACCTGCGGAACAGAATAATAAGCAGATTGGTAAGAACAATAACTCGTTTCTCTCTCCGATCCCCACGTGTTTAATTGACACGCGAAATTACCCGATATTTCACGATCGACACTTCGTATTGGTATAGTTGACAACCGAAATACGAAAAGGCGATTCAGATGAATATTTCGGCAGGTGCGGAATTAACGAAACTATTGATTCGAACCATATGTACAGTACAGTACAGTGCAACATTGTACTATACAGTGCTTGGTCTACTGAAGTGATTTTGTCACGCAGAACAAATATATTTGATAGAAATTAAATTCTGCGTGTTATGTTCTTCAACAATTTTCGTGTATTATGAATCATTTCAAACGTGAAGCTAATTTAAATATTGGGTTATAATTTTTAAGTTTTCTTGTTTACTCCATTTCACTCATTATTTATGTATTAATTGTCAAAATTTGGTAATACAACACGGCTACTTAACCGGCCATCTTTAGTCCAAATTAATTAACATTTTTGTAATTAATTATAACCTTTACTACAAGTAATTCATTAATTATAATCATTACTACAAATCTACGCTTTACATATAATTATAATATATTACATTGTCCGATATTTAACGAATACAACAGTGACAACTGGACTAAATATGGAGTATCTGCAGCGATAATATGCGTATCTAAATACTAATGGTTATAAGTTTATAATAAATGTTTTAAAAAGGATGAACTAAAATATTATAATACAGCAGAAACTCGATTTAACGTATACTTTTTTTACCGGTTCCTCTAAAAACGTTAAATCGAATTTGTACTTTATAAATTTATGACGCCCATTTTTAGTCCTAGATAAAATAGAACATAAAGCAAAAACTTTTTAACTAATTGTTTAATGTAATTAATAATACTTTACATATTTAAATATTAGTGAAATTAATAAATTTATGATACTACACGAATATTTAACAGAATATTTCCTATGTAAAAATGAATACATAAAAATTTAAATAGAATAAAAGTCTACATAATTAAAATTTTACTTTACATTTTTTATTCTGAAACTATGTATAGAAATATATGTTTTATTAATTATATAAGTATATTTATAGTTTTATATTATGTTTAGTGCTATGAAAGTTTTGAAGGGAGTGATGTTTCCCTATCTAAGGCATGGTTAATCCAAGATTTTTAGTTTTGTGGGTGCAGAAACTGACTTAATTCTGGTGTTTCCTGCATCAAAGTGTTTGATTGACCACCACTTCCGATTTCAGTCGATCCGCTAGAGATTTACGAAATGCCAAAGTGTTAGGATCCACATTTACATTTTCTTTCATCTCGCTAACGGCTCTCTGAGCTGCTCTGGAAGATTTTGGGCGACTTCCGCCCGTTTCTTGAGTGTACTTAACCAATTGCTTCTTTCGTTCTTCCTTCTTCATGGACATCAAACGATCTCGTTGCTTTCTCAAATATTCTTGACGCTTCTTTACTTCTTCCGGATTTACCTGAAATTTTTGAAAGTTCATGAACGAAAAACTCCGAATTAAAAATACAATCGACCTCCCCTATAACACTGTTGATAATTCCGTTTTATATGAATTCCATGTTGTACGAGTCACTTAGATTTTACAAATATGTGAGCCGTTTACAGCCCGGCACATGTATTTGTAAAATCTAAGTGACTCGTACAACATGGAATTCATATAAAACGGAATTATCAACAGTGTTATAGGGGGGTCGACTGTAACTTAATTTTCTTCTTCCCGTTAGTTAAATTAGGGAGTTCCCAATACACGTCAAAGTATTAAATCGGTATTACTCATTTTTAATTTATTTCTTGTAAATTTTTATTCTGTTTATTGTTTTTTTTTTCTTTTAAACAAAATCAATAGTAATTCTGAAATCGCATGTTTGTAACGGAATAGAAATTCATAATGCAGATAAATGGGTCAGTCTAGAATTGGGTCTAATGAAGAAGCTGCATTATGTTTACGAAGATAAAATCTGTTCTTTGAGGCTGTTCCATTATAGAAAATTGGGTGGTTATTGAGATATTAATCCATTATTCATCTTTCCTTTTATAAATTATTAAGGAATTTTTGCGAGAATTCGATAGACAGATTCTGAATTTCAGTTTTAGAATGAGCGTGTTCATTTTTCAAAAATCTATGCTCTTTCATTCTTTAATTCGTTATCGATTAGTTCGGACAGACAACTGGACAGTTAACATTGACCTTCACCTAATATCGATAAAATAAAACGGTTACCATAACTCTTTCTAAAGCTAAATAAATTAATTTAATTATTAACAACACTATGTAATTGTGTATTGATATTTAGCAATTCCTTGTATTGATCCACTGGGTGTAAATTATAAACAAATACTTGATAAATCGCGGCTTAATTAAAGACGGTAAATTTAATTTCCTTTGTTTTTATATCGGGATTTACAGGAACATTTATAAGGGTGACGCTTTTACGAAGGGTACTGTATTGAAAAAACTCGATATGGTGCCCTTCGAAAAAGCCTCACCCTTTACGAAGAGTAAGCTTTTTCGAAAGACACCTCGATATAATGCCTTATAATCGAGGTTCCTCTCTTTTATAAAATGAATACTTGCGAATGGATTTTTTTCTATTAATAATCAAATAGGACACTTTGCGGTATGTGTGAATTAACGAACGTACGAGTTTGCATTATAGATATCGATCTGCAAGACTCAAATTCAAAATTATATGAACCCTCGTTACTAAGCGAAACTCGATATAGTGAATAATTTTTGGTGGGTTCTTAGTATTTTTATAAAAATGGACTTTCGATATAGAGAATAATTTAGTTCAGTCCTTTCAGTTTACCACATGGAGAGTCACATTGTATTACGTATATATAATTATTGTTTGAGGTTCTTCAGTTTAATGTCAAATATGAGGTGGCACTAAATCGAAATTTGATGTAAATCTGTGTAAATTGTATGCTCGAGGGGTTATTCAAAAATCGGAATTAATAAAGCATAACCTCTGACCTCCGTTTTGATGGGAGTCGTATAGAAGTTTTCTTGAACTGTGGTTTTCAGAGGGGGAAGACTTTTCTTCGAACTTGTTTTGATTTCGTTATTCATTTCTTGCAAAGATAACTTCATAGCCTAGAAAAAAAAATTAAATACAGTCTTCTTATATACACCTAAACACAAGAATTCTTACACAGTATCACATTACCTTGTCTAACATTTGTTTTTCATAATCGCGTTCAGCTTCTAGTCGAGCCTTTTCGGCTAAGGTAGCCTTTATAAATTGATCTTCACCCTCTTCAGGGGATAAAACTTCATTCGATTTGGCTCTTCTGTAAAATTTTACGGTTTGAGAACGTGTTGAAATTCAATTTTAATTATTCTTAAAGGACTAACCTCATGATTTCTTCCATTAATTCGGCTTCCTCTTTAGTTAACTTACTATTGCTATCGGGCATCAAGGATTGTGGCACGGTGCCCTGTTTTTGTGCCAGAACTTCTAGCGCCTGTAACTGCAGTTCTATGTTCTTTTGAGTCATCATCCTCTTGAATATTTCGTAATCATCGGCAGCCCATACTTGCTCGAAGAGACTCTACATTGAAAAAAATATATATATCTGTACACTGCTTTATTAAGAGCTTGCTATTGTTTTTCAAGTATACTTACTCGATGAAATTCGGAAGATATGTCTTTGTTTGTCTGTCCGCACGCCTCTTCGAAATAATCAGGAGTTACGTTAGTGTCTTCCATGAAACTACCCAGCATAAAATCGACCAAGTTTTTATACTCATTATGAATTTTATGGTATTCATTTTCGTTATCGATTCCGGGTTCGAATACTAAAAACAAATTATTTTTTTTTTTACAGTTTTTCAGTAATTAATAATGTAAAACTGTACTTATCTAGGAAACTAAAACACTGAGGCTCGAAATTTTATACAGAATATTTATATTGTTAGGTTGTCTTTCGTTATCTTTCTATGAAATTTCTCGGAAAATGAAGAGGTAAACACTTTAACTATTTTATATTTTTACAATACGCGACGGTAAAGGAATGTATAGAAGTTATCTCTTCTACAAATAGGCTCAACACTTGTAGACAGTGAGATTCTTGTCTGTATCTACTACCATAAAACACGCAAAATTCCGATCGGTAATACACGCAAAACTTCAATTATCAAAAAATAATATATTTAAAAATTATTTTCAAAGATATTAATTAAAATTTTTCGAAATAAAATATTTTTCTTCTCGTCTACCGGCTATTTTATTATACAGGGTGGCCCAAAAGTAAGTTAACCGTATTTTGTGTGTCCCGGTTACCTCTACGAGTAGGAATCGTAAACTTAGAGATGGAAACATTATAAAATACACGTTTAAGTAGTTTAATAAAGCATTAATTCAGTTTTACAACGGTTAACTAGTTATTGGGCCACCCTACGTATCCATTCATCTGTGTAAGAGCTGTTTACCTATAAATCGATACATCAAAGTGGATTTAAAAGGTATAATTAGGAGATAAATATATAAAAATCAATTTTATAAACTGTAGATTTATTATAATTTTAAGACAAATGGGAATATTCTATGAGGTACATCGATCACTAGTGAATATTTTAATCGATGTGAAATAGTAGACAATGGCTTTTCTCGATTTTGACTATTAATGTCACATAGGAGACTAAATAAATGTATAAAAAACTAGCGTAGTGTAGATAAAATATCGTCTACAACTTCTAAAATTAGAGTTTTAGCAACGAAAGAACACTAACGATTCAACTGATGTGCAGCAAGACTTCACGGTGAGCGACTAACTACAATTATGTTCTCGATTAAAGGTCGCTAATTCATTATAAATTTATGACTTTTGCTATTTAAATATAGAATGGCTGCCAACTAGAAAGCTTATCAAATTTATAATCACTGAAGAATATTATATAACACATATTCCACTTCTGATAAATTGGCATTTCTGACGTTCATTTCCATCCATATTGATGAAGGCAGATGATCATCGTTATCATTTTTTTCTTTCTCTTTAACCCCTTATTTATGAATTTCTTTTATAAATTAGATTTACTGCATTTGCAGTTTCTAACGACTCTACCTTAACATTAATCCATGTCGGCCTATATACAGTATTTACATAGAAGTATTTAGTTTCAAATGCAATTTACCAGTTACGTGCTCTCAATTGAACATAGATATAGCTTATTGAATCATAGACACAGTGGGATATACTGTAATAAATAATTTTATAGTTCTTGCTATTCTTATGTATACAGTATAGTAAATTCTTAATATAGTGATTGATTTAATTCCAGTCCTCTGTATCTAGAATCAACTGTAATTACAAAATTATGCTACGTATGTAAAAATGTATAGATTAATTTATATGCAATTCTTCTATTTTTCCGTAAATTTTGTTTAGAATTTTCATATTGACGAGCTATTTACACGCTTACGGAGAAACACTAAATTAATAATAATAACTCGTGGTGAAGTCGTAGAGAATTGTTATATTTTCCATAATTTGTTATTCATTTCATCGAAAATGCAGTAGGTAATTGTGAATATTTAATTGTATTTGTTTCGTGTTCTCTTGTCGTGAGATGACGTCGCGTATTTTTCGTGACATGCCATCACCGTGACCAACTAACTACCTGCACTTCCATTGATTTATTTAACTAGAGAATGGTCTATAGATAAGTCTAGTATCTAAATAACTAATGAAACTACTGAACTGTTTACATAAAATAATATTATCTTGCATACAATACGATCCTTCTTAAATCCTCATACTTCTGAATGTCCTACTTAGGTCTAGGTACTTCTTTCTCGTGTGTTCGTACGTAAATGACAACTCGTGTTAATGAATTGTGTTACGAATTCAGCAAGCAGAATACAATAAAGTAAATATTTATATTTATAAAGTTTTGTTTGACTTATTACGGCGAACGAATCGATACACGAACTTCAGACTACATCCACAGAACACAAGCAACAGGATGCATTATCTCTAGGGTATAAAATCTCCAGGGTGTAATCTTTAATATATGTATTATAATAAGCACAGTACAATCTATAGAAGGGGTGACTGATTGTCACATAATATGCAAGAGCAGCATTGAAAGGGCATTTTTTTTACATTATATATCCTATAGTTAAAATACTATATATCATTGTTACTCTACTGGTTGTGTATTGTATAACGTAGGAGGTAACATACTTTATAAGAAGTAAGGTACACAATCTATAAAAATAAATTGTATAAATATACGGGAGCCGTGGTAAGAGTTTGCAGTTTGGCCAGTTTAAATATAGGATACGGAAGATATACAGTGTACAATGTATAGAGTTAATAGACCCATCATAAAGTGTATATTTAATTAAAATGTGTCAGATAAGTTGGTAAACGGGTGTAAATAAAGTTACCTACTAAAAAATAATGCTTTATATCAACATGAAAGGATTAAAATGACGATATCTTACAGGATATAATGGCCTGTACAGTTTATCATCCATCGTAAAAATACTATACACTTACTATACGAATTATCTATAGATTACGCTCTACACTTATATAGAGTACTATTTGTAGAGTGAATCCAATATTATGTCCTATAGATCGTATGCATTCTATATATTATGCTCTAAAGATTCGTGTAACTTGTACAGTGGTTGGTTTATGTACTTAAGCAAACTTTTATATAGGGTGTTTTTTAGAGGTATACAAATTTAAAATGAAATAAAACACGTAAAAATAATGTTAATGGCCATGGTGTTGGCTTTATTTAAAAGCTAATTTTATGCCATTAGTGATTAAACATGATTTCGGGCATGTGGGTGCCACGGCTGGCTCGAATGAAGCGCAATCGGGAAAAACAATTTTCGACCACTATCGAGCAACTGGGGCCGTATGTCGGTAATAACGCGGCGAATATTGAGTAACTTACATCCATTAAAAGTCACTGTTTGGTGCGCTTTATGGGCAGGTGGAATCATAGGCCCATATTTCTTTAAAGATGATGCCGGCCAGAATGTTACAATCAACGGAGAGCGCTTTTGGAGCTATGATTGCTGACTTCTTCATTCCTCAGTTGAATGGTATTGATGTGGCAGAGCTTTGGTTTCAACAAGATGGCGCGACATGCCACACAGCGCGCGACACCATCAATTTATTGCGGGAAACATCCGACGAGCGCATAATTTCGCGTAATGGACCCGTGAACTGGCCTCCACGATCGTGTGATCTCACACCTATGGATTACTTTCTTTGGGGATATGTAAAGTCACTAGTCTACGCCGATAAACCACATACGTTGGACCACTTGGAAGTCAACATTCGCCGCGTTATTGCCGATATACTGCCCCAGTTGCTCGATAAAATGGTCGAAAATTGTTCTTCCCGATTGCGCTTCATTCGAGCCAGCCGTGGCGCCCATATGTCCGAAATCACGTTTAAACACTAATGGCATAAAATTAGCTTTTAAATATAGCCAACACCTTGGCCATTAACATTATTTTTAAGTGTTTTATTTCATTTTAAATTTGTATACCTCTAAAAAAACACCCTGTACAATATAAAACCCGTATCAACACAATACCCGACACTATAAAAGAACCGGCCTTTATGCATTTAGAATTATGCCCACAATACGAGGGGTCCCCGAAACTAATTGCACCACCTTTGTACCGAATAATTCTATTTTGTGTATTTAATTTTGCCATAATTGCCATATGAAGTATCACGTGGTGACCAAAAAATATTTTCCTAAAATAACCCCATAAAAATTTAATTTTGTAAACTTTATTTAAAAGAACTTCTCCGCGCTTTTTATGAGCCGAAATAAACCATAAATATCGACGACTTGCCACAGTTTCGGGCCAAAGAAAGAACTTAAATAACGCTAAATACATACTTTTCAATGGTAAATTATTGAGATAAATAGCAAACTTACCGATTGACTTCTGCTCTATGAAAGTAAGAATCGGAATATTCCAGACGGGACCTTTCAAAAAGTCTAGCAGAGTGTTAAATACCCATTCGGATTGAGCTTGGACCTCCATGCTGATCTTCCCTCACTCCGATATCATGACAATGATTCGAATGTAACACACAATACGTCTGCTACTGTTATCACCATGGCGACATCCTTTCTTGTTTGTTATCGATCGTTGTTCTATAGAATTGAATTTTATTTTTTTTAAATGAATATTTTTTTCTTTAATTATATCTCTTGTTCTATAATAATTACTTGGATTTTGCTTGTTCTGTTTGAAAAAAATTTTTTGAATTAAATAATAAAATTTCGTATCTACTCTATTCGATAGGTGGCGAGTTTTCAATTTCCCATAAAAGACCTCTGTGAAAATGTTCTCTTAATGTATCGGTATTTATTTTTTATAATTCAATACGAAATTGAAAAACACATCATCCGTAACATATTCGAGACATATTAATTAATTTAATTCTCTTCTATTTATAATAAGTATTAAAATAAAAACAATTATCGTTCAAAATATTTTTCTAAAATTATTATTTTTATAATTTATTCCCGTATGGCAACACTGACTCAGTAGGTTGTTTTCGATATTCGGAGATGTTTGGGATTTTTTTAGAGGAAGTGGTTAAAGTGATAGCGATTAAATTATCTTAGCCATGACCGGACAGAGAAGTAAGTTATTCAGTTGTGTGGTGAATAATGGAAAAATACAAACAGACACTTGCGAAGATAAGCCACGGAAACATTCACTGGTCACTAGTAAAGAATGTCAAGACATTTTCGGTCAAAAATTACTGTTTCAAGCCATTAAACACGATTCTACTTCCTTCTGTAACGAGTATATCATTGAAAGATCTGCATTCAGTGTACGGAGATGGGTATTTTTAACTTTACTCTTCTCTGTTCTTGCCCTGCAGTATGAAGTGTATACTAGAGTAAGTTGTATTCTTTATATCACTGAAAACTATTATATTATTCTAGTCAACATTTTCTCTGCTAGGCATGCAAAATTATCAAAAACATCCACTTGCAACCTTTGGCGTGTTATTCTGCTCTTGCATCTTTGCTTTCGAGTTATGCCGGATACACCTAAAAATTGATTATATTTTTTATGAGGTTGCTTTAGTTGTCTACATAATCGTATATTAAATAAATAGGTTTATTAAATTGCATTGTGTAGTTTTGCGTCGGCCAGAGAAAAATGGTTGCGAATGATGGCATACGTCGCCGTAAAGAGAATTGTTTAAGAAATTGTTTGATGATGATAAATTTAAATGCTTAATGAGCAACTCGAATGTTTTCGACACGTTGAAACCATTCAAATTGTTTATTAAAAGTGTTTAATTCTGTAAAGTGACTGTATTTGACAAACTTGACTGTTCTTAATGGTCGAGTATTTTTCTGCCAAATATCTTTTATGGTTGCACTACTTCAAAATATATTGAATGTTTTGACATCACATTTGATAGCATACTACTTTTCAAGCTACAACTGATTAATTATGGCTGCAACCACGTAACAGATTGAAATAAATAGTATTCACAAATATAAAGGAGTGTATTTCGGTAATAATGCATTGCATAAATCATCCGACAATTGAAAGCTCTAAGCCACGGCATGTTTTCGATTGCTGAAACTGCTATGTGTACTACATTTTTCTAAAACAAATCGGTATCGGTTCAACAATGTAGCAGATATCCCTACCATACCTTTCTAGAATTAGAATTATTGAGTCTACTGAATGCAGCCATTATCTCTTGCTGATGTATTTAGAGCACACGGCTAATATTACACAATAGAAAAAGACAACGGTTTCCCCCCTCTCTCCATTTAGATGTAGAACATATGAGATAGCATGTGGTAAAAAAGGTTAGTGAATGATCGTGTCGATATTATTTTCATTTGTAATTAAATCAGTTATATTTTTAATAATACATTGGTGCATTTTATTAATTGAGCTTAGGGGCAGAATATATTATATATTTTTTTATGATCAACTGGATTGATGTAAAGTAAGATATCATCTACTACTACAAGAATCTGATACAAACTCAGTTTAGACCATTATATCTTTTGGAGGTTAACCGTAATAGAAAAGTTACTTTACAATAAAGTTTGCATTTCTTATTCTAAAATCATTGTTATCTCATATGTAAAACACTTAAATAAAAAATATCAAACTACTGGCAAGTAGAAATCTTTTTATTTTATTTTTATTAGGTCTGTTCTCCCAATTTCATATTCAGTTGTGACATGTATGTAAATGTAAAGTCGATAGCAAGAGTAAATTTTCACATTGTGCCAATCGGCGTGAAGACAATGTGAAAAAATCAAATTTGATGTAATGCATAACCGTGACTAGATCAATTGAATATCGACGTTAATTTAGAAATATGCTTTGAGTAACTTTATTTATTACAAATTTTAATAAATTTCTTGAATTAATTTATCTTAAATAAATAAATATATTGGGCTACAACAAACTCACTAATGCTTGCAATTCTGAATGTATTTTTACTTGTTTTTTTTCTGCTGTCACGACAACCAATAACACAATCTTAGCTTATGCTGGGATCTTTAGGTATACATGTGTAGAAGAGATTAGAAGAAATATCATCTAGCAGCATGGTAGAATTTGAATTTTGACAAGTTTTGGTTGCTTTTCCTCTGTGTGAGTGTGAAAAACTTGATTTTACTTTGATTCATGTCTAACAAAATGTTGGACGATGATATAAATTTTTGTGATGTGGTTTGAAAAAATGAAAGATGGACAGAAAACACTTTCCTCAAATTTGGATATTTCAAACATTAGTGTACTTAATTACCTTATACTAACAGATGAGCCTGGTATTGCTGTGACAAAAAGTAACAATAACAAAGATTAAGATTATTAGATTATAGCCGATCTTACCCATTTTCACAGAGTGCAAGAATTAGGTCCCCGTCTTCCAAGAATAAGTAGAAAATTTTTAGATATCTGCTTATCACACTAGGATAACAATAATCAAGATTCACAGCAACCAGTAACTGGTGCGTAGTACCACTAATTGATGAATAACAAATGTTTTCGTAACCCTTCTGGGTTCTTCAAGTTTACAAATTTGAAAAATAAGCTGGATCTTCTAGAATCATTCATAAATATAAATTCAAACAAAATTGAACATTAAGATGAATAGTTGAAGTAAAGCGAACTTTTATGCATGTGCTCCCCATGTCAACTTTATATATGATGGAACACAAAATATCATTGAGAATTTTTAGAAGGATCTAAAAATATGTTCAATTTCCCACATAAATGCAAAAAAGACATTTAAAATAGTACAGTAGAAGTCAAGTACTTTGGGGTAATCCTTAACCCTCTCTCTCTTCCCCCCACGGTGAAAATTTCAAAAAAATCCTTTCTTAATGTGCATTCTCACAGCATACCCTATTAAAATGCAATGAAAAATGCAAAAAACCACATCTAAAATAGTATAGTAGAAGCTGAGTTTGTCACGGTAAGCCTTAATCCTCTCCCTCTCCCTCGCAAGGGGGGATTTCGAAAAATCCCTTCTTAGTGTACGTTCTCATGACGTACCCTAACTGTATACCAAATTTCAACTTTCAACTCCTAACCGTTTGGGCTCTGTGCTTATTATTATCATTATTAACCCATCTTGATTATATTATAAGTTAATTAATAATTTCATTTATTATATATTATTACATTCATCTCAATTTATCAAAAAAATTAATTAAGTAAAAACAAGAAATTTACTAAATTCTAAAAAATGAAACTTGAAAACTTTTATTTTTACTTTGAGTTTTAAAGTCACTTTTTTTAAGGACAANCTTGAAGTTTGGCAAGTCTCCACATTTGTACTATTTTATTTAAGAAAACAAGCATTTAAACATGCTTGTAATTCTGTAAAATTGAATCTCAGATAATTTCTAGTATTTATGTATTCATGGATGGTATTTGCCCATCTTTAAAAAATCAAAAATATTTCTTTCACATCTTAAATAGTTTAATTTTAGCATGTCTTAATAATAATTTCAATTTAATACATGTTTCAAATTTAATATAGGTACATTCATTGCAAAAAGTTACACAAACAAGTATAAGGACCTTGAATAAGTTCTCGCTGTTTTCCAACAGATGGCGTTACCAGAACCACGTGTGTTTATTTTTAGATGGTGACGCATCTGTAAGGAAGTACAATAAGTGACCTTGAAATTCAGTATACGTCATTTCACCAAAGTGTAAACAACTTATTTTTTCATTGTGTTAAACATGTCTAGTTTCGTGCCAAAAAAAGAGTATTTGCGGGGAATTTTATTGCACTATTTTATTCAAAAAAAATCTGCAGCTGAAGCACACAGAATTCTTGTTGAGACTTACGGCGACCATGCTCTGTCGGAAACAACATGCAGAGATTGGTTTAGACGCTTCAAAAATAATGATTTTGATGTTGAAGATAAAGAACGATCTGGTGCACCAAAAAAGTTTGAAGACAAGGAATTAGAGGCATTACTTCATGAAGACTCATGTCAGACGCTAGCTGAACTTGCAGAATCATTAGGAGTTGATCACACAACAGTTTCGAAACGTTTAAAAGGATTAGGAATGATTCAAAAGCAAGGACATTGGGTGCCGTACGAGTTGAAGCCGAGAGATGTCGAACGGCGTCTTTTCACATGTGAACAGCTGCTTCAACGGCAGAAAAGGAAAGGTTTTCTGCATCGTATCGTGACAGGTGACGAAAAATGGATACACTACGATAACCCTAAGCGTAGAAAATCGTGGGGTAAGCCCGGTCATGCATCAACATCGTCAGCAAGGCCGAATATCCATGGTTCGAAGCTTCTGCTCTGCATTTGGTGGGATCAGCTAGGTGTAGTTTATTACGAGCTGCTCAAACCAAACGAAACTATCACGGGAGATCGCTATCGACTACAATTGATGCGTTTGAGCCAAGCATTGAAGGAAAAACGGCCGCTATATGAGCAGAGACACGACAAAGTGATTTTGCAACATGACAATGCTCGGCCACATGTTGCACAACCGGTGAAAACGTACTTGGAAACGCTTAAATGGGAAGTCCTACCCCACCCGCCATATTCACCAGACATCGCCCCTTCCGATTATCACTTGTTCCGATCGATGTCACATGGCCTGGCTGAGCAGCACTTTCGTTCTTATGAAGATGCCAAAAAATGGGTTGATTCTTGGATAGCCTCAAAAAACGTGTCGTTTTTCCGACATGGAATTCAAATGCTGCCAGAACGATGGGAGAAAGTAGTGGCTAGTGATGGACAATACTTTCAGTGACGTGTTTATTACGACTTTTTTTAAATAAAGTGTTAATTTTCACAAAAAAACAGCGAGAACTTATTCAAGGTCCTTATATAATTATCCATTTTTGTGATGATTGGACAATTCACAGTATCATAAAGTCTCTCCTTGTAATGCTATGAATTGATGTATGGCTGTCTGTTGAATTACAATAGTGATGATAAATTTGAGACACAGTTGTAATAATGTCTTGGTCTTGTGAATTGGTGTCTTGGTGTCATCTTGGTCTTACTAGCAGTTTCTTTTATTTGTCTTTGTTTTTTTTAATTATTTGGCATTTTATAACAATAAAATTATCAGTATTGAGTTCTGATACAGATGTTTTCCTAAAGTGAAGTTATTTCAAATCTTTAAATTGAAACCACAATGAAAGAAATAAAACTTTCTTTATAAAGATTACAAATATTTGTAAATGTCTTTATTTCTGCTAGTACAGTGGGATACTGTTATAGTGAATTGGCAAGGACCACTAGTTTTAGTTCATTTTATCAGAGTTCATTATAACTATGTATCAAAAGAATGATTAAAATACATTGAAAGATACAATAATTCACTCAATATTCAGCAGAATTGCATTTATGAATAACTTTTATTGTCAAAATATTCTTTCAATCACCAGTACAGTGTGTATTTCTATTAATAGAACTTATTAAACTGATTTGCAGTAATCTTATATATCAGTTTAATAAGTTCTATTAATAGAAATACATGCTGTACTGGTGATTGAAAGAATATTTTGATTAAATTAAGGACATTGAGGCATATTAAATTAACTTTTATTGTTCTTTATGACTATCTAATTTTGTACAACTTTGAAAAAATCTCTGATTAACTTTTGTTTGTAGTTCTTAATGAGATTTTTGTTTAGCACTTTCTCCAATTAACAAACATTGTTTGAAAATATATCTGTATCTGATTCTTCTTGAAGTTTGGCAAGTCTCCACATTTGTACTATTTCCAGTGCCATCTTGGCCTCTTCAATACTTGGAGTCCTATTTTGAGTATTGAAAAGGCCATGATGGCTTCACGCTCATCACTTTCTTTTCCTTCCTCTTCATCTTCCTCCATTTTTTTCTTCTGAGACAATCACAGATTGCAAAATTTCATATGTAAGGACTCCTTCTGTAGCAAGATCATTGTCAAAGCTGCAAATGTGACTGAATACAAAAGGGTGAAGATTTCTAGGTTAATGAGGAATGTGAGTCATCAACTATATTAATATCAGTAACTAATACAGTACTGTACTTTCTAGTAAATAAGAAATGTTCTCTAGGAAAAGGAGCAGCACATAGTTTATTGGGTGAATTCCAGTGAACTTTAATTTTAATTTTTTAACAGAATAATTTGGTTCAATGTAACAGTTTCCATTATAACCATTTTCACTATATCCAATGAAAAATGCATTAAAGATCTGACAGATTTGCCAGGACTAGAATGTTCAGTTCAACGAGATTATATTATATCTGAGTTCATTGTATGCAAGTTCCACTGTATTTCAGTTTTATAAATAATGAGTTCTACAAGAATGGACTTTTTGTCAATCTGGAAATGTAGCGAATAGTCTATCATAGCAGTACTCACCAGTACTCATCTTGATTTACACTGATTCTTGTCAACAGTGTTTATTTTTTCGTAATGAAATGTTTCCTCATACAGCATTTTTTCATTTGTAAATTAAATCATATTTTGTGAGAATTTTTAAATTCTTACAAGTTAAAAAAGTGTCATAAAGTATCAGGATCTTATGTCTTAATCTTGAAAATGAATATCTTGTAATTGTCTTGGTTTTTGATCTTGAATTACAAGTCAGTCTTTGTCTTGATCTTGTAAGTTGGAATCTTACTTGACATTATCAGCTCACAGTATGTATCATGGAGGCTGGCTCTTAAAATTGCTAAACTTCTCAAGAGTTCTGCTTTTGCTTAATTACTTGTATAATTGAATTATCATGATAATGTTTTCTAATCATAATTGATTTTTTTTTTCATTTCTAATTGAATTATAAATTTTTCAATTCATTTTTAATATTTGAGAAAAGAGTAGAAATTAAAACAAATCAAACATTGCTAAACCCGATATGTAACATAACTAAACACCAACCATATGCCGAAAATCTATCGAGCTAGTTTTAGGCTAATTACTAAATGAATTACGCAACCAATTTGGCTCTAGAGGTAAGCGTTAGGCGCCATCTCTTATTAATATTAATAATTATAAATTAATTAATTAATTTAAATAATTTATAACCGCTGGGAGAAAAAATCGGCCCGGAACGGGACTCAAACCCACAACTGCTGCTTACCATGCAGATGCATTGCCAGTTACGCTATCCGTGGCTTGCGATGGCCGGTTGAGTGCCTTTGGGGATGTGGGCACTGAATGTGTCCCCAGTCGGTGTTGTAATAACCATCGATGGTTATGTAGTTAGCTTATATACGCTGGAAGAGGAGATCAGACTGGAGGTCTGGATAGTGTAACTGGCAACGCATCTGCACGGTAAGCAGGAGTTGTGGGTTCGAGTCCTGCTCCGGGCCGATTTTTTCTCCCAGCAGTTATAAATTATTTAAATTAGTTAATTTATTTATAATTATTAATATTAATAAGAGATGGTGCCTAACACCTACCTCTAGGGCCAAATTGGTTGCGTAATTCATTTAGTAATTAGCCTAAAACTAGCCTGATAGATTTTCGGCATACGGTTGGTGTTTAGTTAAAACAAATCTACAATAGTATCTATAAACAGAACATACACAGTGGTTTATTAATAATAATGCATTATTCTCTCGTGTTTATGTTGAAATTCTAAAAGTAATGAATTTGAATATTTTTTCAAACTGGAGAAGCTCTGAATTTGTGATATATGAAATGATACTCTAATTTAAATTACTTATCAATAATTATGAGGATCCAAATTGAATTTGAACCAGTATATCTCAGAACAATAGGAGAATATCTTATAACATGAATACTGTGCCAAGTTGTTTGGGTAGGAGTAGAACCTAAAATTTAAAACAGAATATAGATTTAGAATTATAAATCAGATGAAATCTATATTCTATATTAAATTTAAGATCTAAGATATAAAATTTCCTATTCAATATTCTATTATGTTGTGTTGAGATAGAAGCTTAAATTTGTTTATAAATGAAAATATTTATTAGTACAATTTCTAAAATATATTTGTAAAAAATATGTTTTGTAATTATCATTCTTGTTTATGTACTATTTTTTTAATGTATTCATATTTATAAACTTATTTTTATTTTTCAGGATACCAGTTTACTTGGTATCATTCTCATTCTATTATGTGTCATACTAATAGCAAAACTTCATTTAAAGGTGAAGCAAGGTAAGAGTCCATATTTAATTATAAAATTTTGCAAAGAAACTCAAAATTAAATTGCCTGATAAGTTAATAACAGAACTATTCTTTTCAAAATTATTTTATTAATTATATCAATTATTCTGTCTATGAATAAATAATTATATATGAATTTCCAAACAAATTATTTTAATTGTCAGACTATTTACTCAATAAAAATGTAAACATTTTATAATAATTGTAACATTAAGTTTGAAAGTACTTGAAACACAAACATGAACATACGAAACATGTAAACCTTATGTATTAAATAAACTTTAACAAATTACTAAATGGACGTGCACCATAACAACAACAGTGGATAAATTATATGAGAAAATGGTATTTTTCGAGAAACATATAAATTACATTATTAAATATTTTAGGCATTTTATTTATTTAAATAAATCCAAGACTTATACAAATTTGACTTGTAAAGAAGTCTGTTTAAACTTTTTAGAGAATTGACTTCATTTTCTGCATTCTACAAGAATTATACAATGAATTAACAATGCAGATTAGAAATAGGTTTTTATATTTTAGATAATTTATTAGATACTTTTATAATAATTTACATAACATTTTTTATTTTCAGGAAATCATTTATCTAAATATTTAAACATCATTTGTTTTCCTCTATGAAAATTAAAATTTAGTCATAATTATCTAGCTACTGCTTAGGCATATGAAATTGCAGCTTAGAATCATTCATTTAAGTTGAACACTTTATATTCTATAATACACTTATGTAGTTTTAAAAGTTAACATTGATGAAAATACTAATAAATTAAAAAATTATTAATTACTGTAAATATTTATTCTTTTGATTGCTTCACTGTATTACCACTGATTTATGAAGTTATGAGCTCCTAGAGCTTCAAAATATTTTTAAGTTTTATAAATATACAAGACAATCCTATATTAGCTACATTAATGCATGTTCATGTGCTGTAACAGCAATTTTTTTCCCCCTGCCTGCTAAATTTTTCATGAACATTATCACCAAATTCAGTTACTTAGCTGTGCTTTCATGATATCCTCATGCTACATGCTATCCATCTGATTGTGTAAAAATTTCAATTGAAAAAGGCTTTTCTGCTTATCACAGCCTTAAAATGCTGCGTTACACATACAATTGTATATAATTTTTCCTTACTGTTACACCATCGCATACATAACGCACTGGTATCATTTTCAGTAACCTAATGTCATGGAGGCCTCTCATAATTGCCACAAGAAGCAGGTGTGACATGGATATTTGTCAGCTTTGCATAATATAATGATATGTGGTCTGCAAATCACACATAATTATACAGTAGAGCGTCGTTTATCCGAATCAGTTGGGGACTGGGGTTGTTCGAATAACCGATTATGTACGAAAAAATATATTAACCTATCCCATGTTTAAATTTTTCTCCGTTGTGTGTCGCTTCATGTTAAATTTTTGTCGATGTTAAGCCTAACGTAAACTTTTTAAAATAATAATCATGGCTGTTGTATTGTTAAAAATTATTTCTTTATTTTTTACAAACAAAATAAATATATTGAAAAATATAAAAACAAAAAAAATACTTTAGAAGTTGATCTAGTATCAAAAACGTTCGATCAGCATGACACACAGTCCTCAGAATAACACCACACAAAAGTGCCAATGCTGCCAGCTAAAACACATGCACCAGCAAAAAAATATTGGAGTAGTCCAAGATATAGCCAAAGATTGCAGCACCACAGCACTAGCGAAAATTTAAATTTGCCAACTGGAATGCTTTTGGTTAACAGATGTTTCAGATAAATGACACTCTACTGTATTATGCAAAGTGATATGATCTTCAACACTTCAAATGTTTTAATGAAGTTATTTTGTGTCCAAAAAATACAGAAAAATCATTTTCTTATTGTTCTGATAAACATCTTGGCCCCCGTCATTTATTCCTAGCTGAACTCATTTCACATTAGCCCAAGCTATCCACAAAGTGTGAATGGTTCCCATATGCAGCCCAGTCAAGAATGTTGTTTTGTAAATGAAACAAAATACATGCAGAGAAGACACATTACAGGATTTTTCATAATCATCAAATTTGAGGGACACAATTACTTAAAGTGTAATTTTGCATGCAAACTCAGCAGAAAAAGACCACCTTATGCATATGCTCCTGTAAAAAAACTGCATATAATCACAAGTTAACTTTGTTGGACATTAAAAGAAGAAACATTTTTTAGTGTGCATAGGAGTTTTAAAGCACTAGAACATTTTAATAAATGAAATCTATGAAAGAACACTTTTGTTTTTGTTGTTTCATTTTCTCCTTAATAATGAAACAATTTTTGATAAAATGAAATCTAATTTTTCATCCATACTGTTTTTGTCATTTAATATTTTGAAGGCTTGACAAAATGATCAATTAAACATTATTATAACTTTGTCCTCTTCTAATAGTATCTAATGGATTCTTAATTTTTTTTTTTGTTTTGAAAAGTTAATTAACAATAATTTTTATATTTAGAATATTTAACAAGTAATTACTTAATATAATTAATTGTTTGCACTTGTTATTTTTTTATTTATTTTATTTTAAATTTTAAAAGTTCCTTGTGAAGAAAACTAATTGAACATTTATATAACTTTCATTGTATAATGTTGATTTAAAATTACTAATAAAATAGTCTAATGATTAAATTGTTGATCCTTAAATATTTACAGAATCTCTGTTAGTAATTACTTCAATAGGATTGCAGTTCACAACAACTTTTGTGACTGGTCGACAGAATTCAAAGTTTATTCATCAATGTCATATAAAAGATGTTGTTATTAACGAAGGAATAACAATGGTAAGTTTTATTTATTTTTATAAGATTTAAAAAATAGACTTTACTTGCTTTACAAAATGACAGTTTTGTATTTATTACAAATTTTTTATTTTATTTTTATATCTAGCATAGGGTAATATTTTATTTGGCGGTACTTTTAAAAGATGCTAGTCAGCCACTGGGTATAGGAAAAATTTTACCATTATTTCAAGTAAGAATTTTTTAATGTGTGTGTATATATAATTGTTTAATAGATTTTATTGAGTTCAAAAAGTCAGACATTGTGTGGACAATGTGATTTGAAAATGTACAAATTATAAAGATAGGCTTAGGCATTGTTGATTTGGCTAGACAAATTAGGCTTCAAATGCTTATTTTTTTAATAAAATCAAACATAGACACTTAAATTCTTACAAGATCATTAAAAATATATTATTTATACTTTGATTTTTAAAATTTAATTTGCATAAGGGTAGGCAAAGAATCTCTAAAGAAAAATCAACTCCACTATTGTTAATTGTGTTCTGAAAGTTGTGAATAGACAAATAGAAGACTAGAATGTTCCTGTTTTGCACATTTATTTCTTCAAAAACTAGTTGTATGGAATATGAAAACACAACAAAAATACCCAAAACCAATAAAAGGAATAAAATTATGTAATGATACAAACGTTTTTGTGAATTTTTAACAAACATTGTCAGGTATACATTGTTCTGTTTGGTATTCATTAATGAATTGTTATTTCTAACATTGATGATTGTTAGAAACAGACAAAAACGTTTGTATCATTAAATAATTTTATTCCTTTTACTGGTTTTAGGTAAATGTTCAAATTTTTGTGAGATAAATTTAAACCAATTTATAATTAATTTGCTTGTTTTCAATGTTCATTTTTGTTAGTGGACATCATAATAGACTTTTTGGAAACATGCATTTGAAAATTAGTTTTCATTATTTTTATCTTATTTTTGAAAAATAAGACAAGAAAAATATAATTTATATACCAAAGTTTTATAGACCAAAACTTCATTCCTTATGTTAAGACAGTGTTTTCCTCCCTTTACCTTTTCTTGAAATAGCTTTTCTTAAAAGATCATTAACAATCTGAGAGGACTTGTTTCTATATTAAATTCATTGACTGACTAGAAAACTTATACTGTGTTAAGAAGAATTTGATTATTAATCAGATTCTTATTAACAATGTATTATCATTAGTATCAAAGTTAACATAATATCAACATTATTATTCAATTCTTAACATTTTCTTTTCAGAATTATAATTTATTCTGTTTAATTTCTAAGTACTATATTATAATTTTGTGCAGATAACCTATGGGTTGTGTGTTTAAAATGCAGTTTGAAACTGGGTGTGGGATATGCATTGAAGTAGGTAATTTGCCAATTTTAAATTGTAATTATCAACTCGTGAAATATTGGGTTGTTTGGAAAGTAATAGTCGTTTTCTTTTTCCATGGAAAAAAAACAATATTTTTATAATAAATAAATATTTTATTGAATTATATATTGACAATTTTGTTCAAATACCTGTTGCCATCATTTCTGGTAGTAGCATGATTCCACGTTCATAAAAGTTTTGATCTTTGCTTACAAAAAACTGATCCAAGTGATTTTTGACATTGTCACTTCAAGTAAATGTCTTACAGTTTAAAAAATTTTGTATAGATTGGAACAAGTAATAATCTGAGGGTGCCTGATCTAGCAAATATGGTTGGTATGATAGCTGGTCCCATCTAAGCTATAACAGTTTCTGATGAGTTACCAAACTTGTGTGAAATTTGGCATTATCATGGTAAAACACTACACCTTTTTTGTTGATCAATTCTGGCCTTTTCTCTGTGTGATGATATTATTCAATTTGTTTACTCGATGGCAGTACACTTTTGAATCAATTGTTAAATTGTCTGGTAAAAGCTCCAAAATAAATTTCCTTAAAATCCCACCAAAGAGAGCATCTCTCTTTAAGAACGTGTGGAACCCATATATCGAGCTTTGAAACAAAACCAATTTGTTTCAAGTAATCATAAACAGTTTAATTTGACATATTTAATCTCTTAGTGATTTCACCTGTTGTTATTCACCAGTTTGCTTCAATCAGTACTTTTATTTTGTTTTCATTGGCTTCAACTGGCTATTCAGAATGTGGTGCATCTTCAATATTGAAATAGTGAGAATGAAATTTTGCAAACCAGTTTTGGCACTGTCTTTCTCTCAACACATCTTCTCCATATATGTATCACAATTTTTTTCTTGCTTGAACAGCATTTTGATTTTTTTGTAATAAAAAAGCAAAATATGCCGAAAATGATGCTTTCAATTTTCCATATTTAATGGGATACTGAAAGGAAAAAAAACAATTGTATAGAACCAAACAAAATTTTTTACAAATAAGCCTTAAAATGCCAGCTATCAAAGTATATAATGAAAATTTGGTTTAAAATGAAATTGGCTGGTAAAAATACATCTAATTACTCTAGACATATAAAAAGCTATTGGGTTGTTCAAGTAATTTCATTTTTTATTACTAAAGTCACTAAATAGCTTTTTTTAATCACATTTTTCTAAAAATGCTTTGTGTCACAAACATATTTATCTGTTATTTTAGAGGATCTGGATTGTTAAGACACCTTATGTGATAATTGTCATTACAATAAGCTATAAATTCATTTCTCTTTATTTTATAAAATTATTTTAGTTATCAAAATTCATTATATACATTTAAAATAACAATCCTCACTTGACTAAATAAAATGAAATATTCCACACTCATTTTGCTAACAAAATTGCAATTGAAGATGATGGAGCAAATTAAAAAGCTGTAATTATAATTTTGGTTTAACTTTAATTAATATAAAATGAATTTATATGCTGTAAAGGAACACGCATGTCTAATTTAAGATATTATTTAATAACTTTTGAGTTAGAAGATAAAATGAAAATTTATTTTAATATGTTTTTAAACAATAATTAGATGACTAAAACAGAATCTCTTCATTTCATTCAATGGCCTGACCTTTGTTAATCCATCCTTTACCATGTAAGGAAGCACACATTAATTGAAAGTGTTGGCTGCCAAAGCACAAAATCCTTTATCAAATCACTTTCTATTTTGACATGTATTATTATTAGATAATTTTAATACTTTGTTATATTTATTTTATATTTAATCTTTTTTATCTTAATTTTAAGAGTGATTTATTCATTTTTGTTTTGTTCTTCTTTTTCTGTTCTGACAATTGTAATTATTCTTAAACATTTCTGCTAGTGAAAAATCTGTTAACATTTTCAGCTAATTGGCACAATGAATTTCTTGAGGTAACACGCTTAAATTTCTCTTTCTTATCTATGAAAAATATACTTTCTAATAGCATTCTTAAATTATTATAATTAATTTTGAAATTTTTCTTACAATAAATAAATGAAGGAATGCATAAAGACAGCAGTTGATAGCAGCAAATTATCTTGTTTTAATGATTACTGTTCTTGTTTTACAAAATGACAAATGGCAAAATACTTCATTGGCAGGCATCAAATTTACTATGCAAAAATCAATTATTTTTCACTTTCACTAGTGAATTCGTATTGGAACTAAGCTGGAATTCTCCAAAGCAAACTAGAGCCGTGCAATTGACTCTAAAACCATGTCATTGGGTATTACGTATGTTTAAATTATTTTCTATTTAAGAACAATTAAGTTTATTTTAACATTTAATATTACTTAGTAAATAAATCAAAAAATAGGGAAATATGAAACAATTTTGTAGTTTGGTAGATATTTGTATTTTAGAAAGAATCCTCTAATTTCATCTGTCAGAGTACTCAATTTTTTCATTTCAGCTTTTTTATGATTTTCTATTACATTTTATTGTAGGTGTAAAACGTTTTAATATTTGAGATGGTATTTTCTAAAATGCATACCAGTAAGCACCCTGCTTTTAATAGTTGTTCTGGAGGCATGGTATATAACTTACAGTGAGATGGATTATGTAGAGGTTTTATTTCTGTTTTAGCAATTTTCTGTAAGGAATACACAGTTCTGAGTTATGTGCACAAGATTAAAGTAATTTAAATGTATGTAAATATAACTGAATTTTTATATTTTTATGTAAACTGTAAGTGTTTAAATACTGTCAAACCATCTTTTGACTGTTCTTTTTAATGAAAAATGCCTTTGAATCCAAAATTTATTTATAACTATAATCTTCTGATGATAAGAAAGTTTATATTGTTTATTCATTAACAGTGAAAAAACTTTGGAAACTTTTTGGTTCAAATTTTGAAAGCCTGAAAAATTGAAACAAAATATATAGTTTTAACATTATAAATTGTAATATTATAAACAATATATTTGTTACTGTTTTGCAAAAAATTGTGGCTAAATGCTATCTGAATAATTAATTTGAGATGAAAATATTCTCCAGCTCACAAGAAAAAAATAATAGTGTTTCCTTTAATGATTAAGTAATAATACTGAGTTCAGATTTTTAGGTCTATTTCACACTTAAGACCATTCTATAAAATTTGAAAAATTCCTGACAATTCCAGAACATTCTGAGCATGCTTAGAAAGCATATTCTTTGTATTTATGTTTTCCTTGAACAGATATGGGAAGTCTTTTGTAATCAGAAGACCACATCTTATTTCAGACGAATTTCATAAGGTCTCATATTACATAACTGGTTGCATAAGTGTGTACAGTACATATGCAAAAATATATATTAAAAGTTTATTTTTTGCTCCTTTCTTCAATAAAAACATCTAAGTTCAAAATATTGGGTACAATTTGTTAATAGAAAATTATTTAACATGTATGTGAATGTTATTGTTGTTTGAGAGTCCTTTGTTATGACCACCAATGCCTTGAGCAAAATTTTATTTTTGGTGCTATTTTTTTTAGAAAAATTACAATAGAAATGGTGGTTACTTTAACCAACATTGAAAATAAGAATATAATACTGATCAATTTTTGATATCTTATTTTAGAAGCCTTGTGCCTGTGTACCTATTACACCTGCCTGGTTACTGATGACCCACAAATGATAATGTTAAATATCTGGATAATTCTTTCAATTTTACTGTTTGATCTGTAAAGTTCTGCAGTACATATATGCATTAAAGAGTAAAATTGAATAAATGTATTTAAATCACATTTTACTGCATATACTTATGCAAAACTTAGTAGTACCTTAGTTTTCGTAGATAATTGTCTGAAAATCGATGAAATTTGAAATAGATGAAAACCAAGAAATTTTTCCATATGAATCAACGTAAATCCAATTAATTCGTTCTAGATGCTCCAAAACACATTTTACAGAGAATAAATATAGTGTTAATTTCTTATTGTTTTTACTATTAAATATAAAAAAACATGGCATTTACTTTTCTGAAGATTCTTCTTGGCGTATGGAAGACAACGAAGGGGGAGAGGGGGGAAACACATGGGTCACCCTTTGTTTTTGCAAAATTACATGTGGGCATGCCGTCGAAAATCGAGACAAAATAACCAAAGTCAACAAAAACCAAGGTATTAATATATATGCAGTGAATGTGATATAAACAAAAAAATTGAATAAATGTATTTAAATTATTCATACAAGAAAGTTGCAAAATCTGTTTCTCATGTAGTTCATTTCTATTTTAAATGAATGTTTGATTTAATAACAAAGGTTAGGACATCCAAACACTAAAAATCATATAATGTATGTGACTGTGTGTCTAGATAGCCTTACCTTAAAAAAGAATTTACTAAGACACGTGGCTTAAGGAGTTATGTCATCTTTGTAGTTTTTTCATTTTAATTGGGTCCTCCATTTAATTTCTACAAAATGCAAATTTAAAAAATATATGGAAACATATGTAAATTGATGCTAGTTTTTTGTAAAATAAGTTGGAGAGTGACTGTATTGTTTGAGTCATAACCTGATCAAATTTTTAAATACACAATTGTTCAAATTATCACATTTACTAGCAAGGTCACTGCCCTTTACTTTCAATTCATAAGAGGAAAAAGGATTTTGCAGTTAAAGAGGTTTGGCTGTATTTAAAGACTGAAATGATTCAATTAAAAATTAATTTGTCTGAAATGATTTTCCAGCATACCTTTCCAAGATTGGAATGTTTAGAACAAATTTATACAGGAATTCATATTTCACTTTTTGGAAATTATTCAAACAGATGAATTGTCCAATTGAACCAATTCAGTATTAATGATTAACATGGTTAAATAGTCTTTTAAATGGACATCTTGTTTTATAGATAAATGTCTTCCATTCTTTGGTTGTAAAGTTTAATATTTTAAAAACTGGTTAATTTAAATTATAAATTTTATTTTTATATGAATGATATCATTAGTTTATATAGTAACTTATCACACATATTCATTGTGTTCTAGTCTAATGTTATAATTTTTGTAACATTTTAATCCTAATTAATGTGTTTGGTTTTGGTCATACACAATTGTAAAGAAGAATTTTAAAGATCTTGATTATCAAATTTTAATGAATAAAAATTGAATAAATTGTGTCAACTAACAGATTGACTATAAAAGCTAGCACTGTAATATTGTAATTCAAAACTTTATAATGTACATTTATCATTGCATTTTGAATTTTACTGAGAATATGTAGACATGTTTAATATATATGTGAATTTATTCTTTATTAAATGAAGAAAATGTTAAAAACTGCATAGAGATTGGAAATATACAAAACAAAGTAAATTTATTGTTGAATTTTATAATAGTAAATACTATAAATTACTCAGGAATTGCATTTCTTGCACTTGCTGTTGGATAGGATGATGCAGTTGTTGTACTTTGGTATTTTATGCAGCAAATTAAAAAACATAAGCAGATTTTAAAGCTTGATAACAATTTATTCTTTGTAAGAAATTTTATATTAATTAATTTATTCTAAGTTTAACTATTTAATTTTGTATTATAATACAAAATATTAAAATTTTTTTTTTGGTAAATGTATATTGAGAAATAAAGTCTTTAAAGATTAAGTAGTTTGGATTGAGGTTTTATTTCTCATCTCTTGTCTGTGTGTGTCTTCTTACTTGAATTTGGATTGGCAACAGCATGTCCAAAACTTTTTCTGATATAATTACAATGTACAATGTCAATTGCATTCTTGAGTTCAAAGTTATCTGTTATAGTTGTAATAATAAGTTACACCTTGTCTTTTGTAACTTAAGTTCGGGGTATTACTGTATTTTGCCTTTAAGCAATAGGTGGGACCGAGCAGTAACTGCGTAAGTCAGGGTATAATTTCGCATATAAATACATACAAATAATTTTTAATTGGGGCCGGAGACTAAAGAAAATAATTTAGAAAAAAAATGTTTAATAAAATCTTAGCTAATACATATGTATAACAAATTAGGCCTATATTATTTTACAATTTTTCACATTTACTTGATTATTACACCATAATTTTAACATTGTTTCCATCTTAGCAATAATACTGTGATGTTTATGAATGATGCTTGAATTTAAAGATTGAGCATTTTTCACAGCTTCGAGAATTTTTTCTTTGCCTTTTATAATTGTTCTGACCAATAATTCTGGTGCCAATTCACAAATTTTCATTTTTGTATCAAAGTCTTTGATAATAACGAGTTAAACGCGTTAGTAACGAAATAGGAATAACGATGACTTCATTCTCACTTAACTCGTTCGACTTTATGAACATACCCAACGTTAAACTTTACATTCCAAAGATAAAGTTTTTCTTTTCTTGTTTGATGCAAAGAATCAGTTCTACTTCGTTTGGATGACATAGTAGAGTCTCTCGAGTCTCCGTAGATATAACAAACACAGCTACAATTTATTTTGTGTTATTTATATCTATGTGTGGATTCCGCGCAACACATCTGAACATGTAAGCTGAACAATAGTCTGGGAGGAGTGAGTAATCAAGGGTTGCATGGTGCTCAAACAAAGACGAATCAACGAGATTTGAAAATCGCGTAACTCCGGGTATTACTGTATACAAAATGGCCACTATTTGTTGTCATGTTAAACAATGTTTGATCTAAAAGTTATTCGACCAATTTTTTTTTTGTGGCATATATACTACACAGAAAAATACAGGAAACTAACATTTATATTTTTCAGTTTTTTTATTGATAAAAATATTTTTTTTTGTTTTGGTCAACAATGAATTTAGTATTCTCAAATGAGCATTACTACATTGAATTTTATTTTCCCACAATTATCTTTTCTGTCTTATATTTATATCTAATGTATTCTGCAATAATTTTGAACTGAAAAGATTCTCTTTCTCTGCATATAATTTAGTCGCAACACCTGTTTTTTTAGTGAACCATATAAAATCGAACAATAGATATTGGCACGTTTCATCAAATGTTTTTAATTTATGCTGTAAATAATGGTAAATATTTCCATCATAATAATAGATCAGTTAAATTGCAATTTATCATCAATTGCTATGTAAATTTTCTAAAAAGTATAAGAATATAAGATTATACCTTAAAATTATAAAATTTTGTTGAGAAGAGTTGTAAAGTAATTACATAAATTTCACATCACAATATATACAAAGTATAATGCTACAAATAATGAATTCAAATCATATATACAGTAACTAGAATCTAAATCTATAAAATCTGCAAGTATTTAGTTTTTCAAATATGATTACTTTACCTAAACTAAGATTTATGTAACAATTTTATTATTTATCAATAGTAGAAATTACTTATTTGATTATAAAGGCATGTACCATTCTACGTCTAGTTATGATAACTTTAACCTTCCTAGATAATGGTTGACAAACGAACCAATGTACAGATGTTTGTTATATTCCAATACTTCCGACGGGAATTTAATTTTCTCGTCCGGAGAAAAGAAATTTCTTAAGATCTTTCCCTCGGAATCTAGCTCTAAGACCATGCCGGGCATGTGGAAGAGATCTTCTCCGAATCGTCCCGATCTAATCTGGATAAAAATAAATAAATAAATTTTTAAAATATAAACTTTCCTTATTCAACAGTCTATTCATTTAAAGTGAATGTATAAGTAATCTGATATTCAACTTTAATTGATTGAAAAAACATAATTGACTTTTTTTTTTATTCATAGTTTTGTACAAATTCAACACAAAAATATTTTTTATTGCATTAGTCTTTCTTGTCAGATTTCTTTACAGATATTTCCATAAATATAACATGCAAGTAATGGACACTGTAAGAGTATAGTTAAAATAAAAAATATTTTTGGCAACAATTTACTTTTAAAGAGAAATATTTATTAACCTTCAAAATAAAATGGTCAGAGTAATAGCAATCTAGTAATAAAATTAATTAGTGTCAGGAAATTATTGCCAACCACAGTTTACAGAAAAAATTGTCAAGGTCTCATAACAATGTTGAATTATTGAATGATCTAGCAATATTACACACACTGAAATTTTTGAAAAAGGGAGCCATGAAACACACAAAAAAATGATTCAAACGTATGCTCAAACCAACAAGCATTTCACAAAATGAAATTTTCGCTTTTCTTTGAAAATGATTAGATTTTTAAGTAAATATAGTTATAGATATCTAATTCAGTTTTGAATTTTCTAGCTTGATTATCTACAAAATAAGGAAGTGTACTATGATCTGTTGGATTAGTAGTAATGGCTGTTAAATATTCTTAAATTAAAAACATCATGTTCATTAGACCTTAATTGAATCAGGCTTCCAAATCTATCCATTAGGAAGTTATAAAAAAATTCGAACAATTTTCCTTCTACGAACATAAATGCGCTTAATGCGTGCCAAATTTATATAACAATCATGTTGTAAATCTAGTTTTCCTTGTGAAAAGTAGAAATAAACTTTTTATTTATGAGTTTTAGAATTTTGGTGAATTGAGTTTTAGAATGTTTAGATACTGGATTTTCAAAATAGGTCATTCCAAAAACTACTACTTTAATTAATTATAAGAAAAAAGTTGTTGAAAAGTTACTCCTATTTCTGACCTTTGACATTGTTTTGGTAAATTAGCAATAGCAAATAGATAAATGAGTTCTTCTTATAATTAAAATACACTAGGTTAAGAGGTGCTTGTTATTGTCCAGGCAAAGAGTAACTTGACAGAATAACAGAAAAATGCAAATGTTATTTCTGTGTGTGTTTTCCTTCCTGAGTTTTTGTTGAAAGTTTTGTATGGATACATCAGTGGTTAGTGTAGATGTGCTGTATACTTTTTCAATTTGAAATGAATAAAAAAAAAGTAACAAGTTGTTTAAATTTTCCTCTCTTATAAAACGTTTTTAAATAAAATATGATAGTGTTTTTAATTATTAAAAAATGGCTAAAAGCTTAATTTTGAGGGAAGGGATGGGTTTTATAAAAAAAAAACGTAAATGATAATGAGTAAAATCGTCAGTCAGATACTATTCGAGATACGACCTTTAATCAAAATTTAATAGCATCGATCCCCCAATAAACAAACCACCCTGCAAAATTTCAGGAAAAAGCACAGGAGTTAAGGTTCAAAATCGTACTCCCCAGACACTAATATCTATAACTACAGGAAAAAAAAACCCGAATTTTTTTTGCATTTCTCAACGTTAAGGTGGGTCATTTTGACCCCCTCCCGAAAGATTTTTACATTTCCTCTGTTATATCAGCCGGGAAAGTAAATATAATAATTTTTGGGCAGTTTGCCATGTTAAGGTAATTAATTAGTCGAACACGGTAAAGAAAATTTACCGAGGTCAAACATCAGATTTTCAAGGTGAGAGAGAGAGAAGAAATATTAGAGGAAAAATACAAAAAACTTTTTATCCATACTTCGGAAAATTATTTCAAGTAAAAATATAGTAAGTTTATTTTCACTTATTTTGCAGTTTAATTCCTATTATTATAATGCCAACATAACAATTCGGTCGCGCTTTTTTAACAGAAGACAAGGTTTAAAACCTGTAATTTATTTATCAGTTGGAGTAAGATGATGCTACTGAGAGGTTGCATTTAGTCGAGTGAGAAATCTTGAAGACACGATTATAAATGCACCATTCCCTCTCAGTCGAATTGTTTCAATCCAAGAGTCAACAGCGTTTATATTGAGAAATCAATTTTTAGAGCATTTACTTAAGATAAGGATTCATCTCAGAGGTGTGATAGTTTGTAAACATACAATAGAAGTGTATGCGCAGCAAGCTTTAGACTCTTATGTATATCACTTTAGACACACACAATGCCATTTTTTTCTATTTATGAATAAAAACTCATTTCTGATGACGCACGCTCAGACTATACTTGCATCAGGTTTCTTCTAGTTTTAATATACTTTTTGTGATTTTATTCATACTGCTTTTTTGAGTTAAACTTTTAGCGATGGTTCTATCGAATAATTTATTTGTAAAGAAGAGCAATGGAGTATTGAGAAACTTACCAAAAAGGCGAAACGTCTGAACGAAGCGAAAGGCAAATAATCAGCCACCCGCTGCAAAAATGAACCTACGGCAAACAGCGTCTTGACCATGTACTTTAAGATTAAGGGATATTCCAAAAATCTATCGACTATAAGAGGATGAGTCGAATTTCGAGCAGACGCTATGGCCACCCAGTATCCTCCTCTGCTACTTGGTCTAATGTTATCTGGTTCTCCGGGAAGATTATCCACGAATACGTCCGTAGTTCCTTTCTTGGCACCCTTAAGATAATACCTGAAATTCGTGATGATTACCGAACTGTTAATATTCAGCAAGTAGAACTTACAACTGACCTTAATATTCTTCTTTCGACAATTTCGGAGACTAGAATGAAATCTCCTCTTTTGGATATCTGAATGCCATTGGGAAAGCCAATGTTTCTCATGATGACTTCGGCTTCGTTGGTTTTCGGATTGAATTTAATAACTCTAAAATGAAAATAAGTT